ACAAAGTTTTTCAGTAATAATGAAGTGATCCACTTGTCCATATGGTTCCTTTATAAATCATTTTAGTAATTTCTCTATCAAGTTCTATGTTCCAATAACTGGGTGCTAGTATGTCTTGAGATATAGCAGACCCCAGTTCGTCCTACAAATGCAAACTGCAGGAGTCAGAGATGAGAAAGCAATATAAGCACCTCATGGTAAGTTCATGGGGTGCTAAACAGGAGAGCAGTTATTTAAGTGACTTTTACAAAGCCTACAGAATTAGTAATCCTTTTTAAATAGCCCATTTATATAAATATAAAAGGATAAAACCTCGTCTTCCTGAAAACTTTCCACTTCAGGATGAATCATGTTGGAAGAATACAGCCTCTGAAGCCAACACTGAGTTTAAAGATTATTGGAAAAAGGAAGAAGGTAGGTTTCTGTAGCAAAGAGAAAGGGGAAAATATTTTATAGTTGTAGAGATCTTCAGCTTAAGAAGAATGTGTAAGTAGGCACATGTACATTGGATGTAGATGTAAAAAACAGTTAAAATAGTTGGGCAGGAAGTTTGGCTGAGTCTAAGAAGAGAGGCGTCTGCTGATTGCCTCTGGGAGTTGGCAGGAAGCAGAGGCAGAGGAGAGGAATTAGAAGTATTTGATAACTTAGAGGAGAACGTGGCACAGAGGGGAAAGTAGCATAAAATCGAGGGTCACAGGAAGAAGACAGGGCCTGGACTCCGGTGGATGTGGGTGGGGATGTAGGCTGTGATCCAGTAACCCGAGGTGCACAAAGCACCTGCATCAGCAGAGCTGCGACCTTGGCAGGAAGCATAGATCATGCCATTATAGCCTCATTTCTCTCTCTGCCAGGAACAGATTTTATGACCAAACTTCAGACAGAAGATATTATAAGAAGAAAAATGATGGGGTACAGATTTTTAGAAAAAAAGATGATTGCTGTGAGCTCAGTTCATCCCATAGCCTTTCCAGCAGATCAGGTTTTAGAGGTGAACGGTGTTTATTTGAGGTTTTCAGGATTACAGCTGGAGATGTAAAATTTGAGATCACTATCTAGAGAACCGGAGTGAAAACTTCAATGTAGAGGTATCCCTTGATTAGCAACCTACCTGTGTATTGACTGTTCAGTCTTAATGACATGCAACTCAGACTTATGATCTGTCCTTTTTTTGTACAGTTCTGTACTTCTTGTTGACAAGCATCCAGTGTCTCTTTTGGCATAGTGTGCCTTGTTTAATACAACACTGTCATTTCTCCTGATTGTACTGTACAGTATTGGAGTTTTTTGTTCTGTAATATATAATAGACTGCACATAAGAGTAAAATCAAAGGCATCTAATTGAAGTTTCCTCTGATTGCTCCTTTGTTCTAGGTAGTGAAATAGACATACTATACATAAGTCTTCATTAAGTAACTTATGCATGTAGTCATATGATTGGAACTCAAGTCATTAAAGAAGGAGGGCCTGTACATATACTGCTTTCATACCAAAATTTCAGGGTCTCTTACTTGAGTTGATCACTAGAAGACCATGTTGTTGATTTCACCTTGCTAATTTTACTTCCTTTTCAAATTGCATAAATAATACTATTTATAGAGAAATTACTAAAATGATTTATAAAGGAACCATATGGACAAGTGGATCACTTCATTACTATTGACAAACTTTGTCAGTGGAACACTTTCTTGCTACCTCAATGGATACCAAATTTTACATTCAAAGTGAAGAGCACATGAAATTGCAATCTTTTTAAAGAGGACTCTCAAAGAATAAGGCTGACATTTTGAAATGCTGCAAACCAAAATTCATCAAGATTATATACCTCAATTGTCCAGATACAAGAAGAATATTGTATCTGTTATTTGTTGGCAATGGATACCGTAGCCCTATATTTCTTGGATAGATTTAATTTATGGTGCAAGCAAAATATACTATAGCAAACATTTTTGAGAGATCAAGTATAAATCCTTACATGGCCTTTGATTTAATATAACTGGATTTGCTATTCAGTTATCTAATTTGATGTTCTGGGCTGCAGGCAGTAGAATATCTAAGTAAAAATGGCATAAATGATAAGAGCAGTGATGATATCAGCTATAAGGTGCTGCACAGAGCTGGACAGGTGGACAGGGCCTTGGCTCACTGATTCCACTGTCATTCTCCCTGTAGGTGTTTTTATATGATCTTCAGCATGTCAGCTTTTTCCTTCCATCCATGAATAGTTCCAGGAGGCATAGGCAGACGCAGCCTTCCCAGTGAAGGGGAAAAAGACAGGGACCCTCTCTCTAGGTCTTTGCTTTTGTTAGTAAGGGAAAGGTTTCCCAAAGCCTTCTCTGCTGGGTGTGGCGGATTGACTAATGGTTAATTTGTAACAACACCCAGATGAACTGGATCAGCGTGGTGGATAGCCACCTGAGGATTGTTCCCAATAGCATAGGAGGAGGGGAAGACTGTGTGCTGTTGGTTCTCCTGGAGAAGCTTGTCATGGTGGTTTTCCTGATAGGAGCTCAGCTGTGATCTCGGAGAAGCCTGGGACCTTGTTGTAAATGAGGATGGCTACTGTTCTTGTGGGAGCTTTTTTGAGTGTTGCTTCCTGGCCCAGTGCAGATCCCTCAGCCTGATGGCACAGATCCTTCACCCCACTGGCGCAGACTTTCCTACTTGCACCACTGGCCTTTGGCAGTGCAGATCCTTGACACAGTGTTGCCAGACTTGCATGAGACTGTGTCGTGGGCTCTAGGTCTTCAGCCGGACTTATGCAGGACATTGTCATGGGATGCAGACTGTTAGCTAGATTTCTTGAGTCTCTAGTGCGTAGACAAATCTCTTGCACCCTAGTGCATTTGACTTTTTTTGATAAACATTATAAAGTAATCTTAAAAATTGTATATCTTATATTAAATTTGTTTCTTTGCGAACCCTGACTGCAACACTGGGGACCCAAGTGGCCAACCTGACTGTAACTTGTGCAGTGGGTTGTGCCTGGCATTTTGGTGTCTAAAATGGGAAGTTCATGCTACAAAGAAAAAATCACAGAAGAGCCTGAAGGTACAATCAGCCACCAGGTCTGCCTCAGTTAGCTTCTATTCAGAAGTGAAATCAGTCAGTTGTTTGCTATCTTGATTTGATAGGGTCAAATCTTTATTTTTTGTGTCTTTCTTGGGTGTGTCCTTAAGATCGCCAATATGTCTGTGTTCTCACCATCTTCTACTATATTTGTGTTTCATTCTCTAGCAGCTTCAGTGGTCATAAATCTTCCAGAACCTGAAAAATGTAAGACATTTTTATATTATGAAAGTTTGTTGGAGCTGCAGACTTTGGCCAAGCTGTAACAAATCCACTAAACCATGGAGATTTTATATCCTGCTGAATGCCAAGAGAGCCGGCTGCAGGGCTGAAGAGCACACAATGCCCTCATTCACACAGGATGCCCAGGCGCATGCCAGGACAATTGGTCTTTCCTGTCTCTAGTTCACATTCTAAGCTACTTCTAGAAGAAGCCAGAGGATACCTCTCCCAAGGACTTCTCTGTTCATATTTATTTGGGGAATATGAAGACCTCCAGGTTTTGTGTTTAGCCAGTATCTCTAAAGGCCCACAAGTGTTCCCAAGATCTGTTTGCTACATGCATATAGGGGAAGCCAAGGTGCAGCTCTATTGCTTACTTCTTCCTGGAAACCTTCCTTCTTTCCTCCTCTTCCTTCTCCTCCTCCTCCTCTTTCCGCCCTCCTCCTCCCCGTCTCTCTCCTCCTCCTCTTCTTTCTCTTCCCCTTCCTTTTCTTTCTCTATTTCCTCTCTTCTTTTTTTTTCTTTAATTTTTAAAAAACACCTAAAACAGAAGCTTCTAGCAGAGCCACTTGTTCTTGCCTGCCTTGTATCTCTCCTTGAACTTGACCTTTGGCTCCCTGTGGGCCTTGCGCTTGAGTCTCTGAAGACGACCTTGTTGAACAGAGTCTTGTCCAAGGCGATGTCCAGAGAGTACCTTGTGGGCATGAGGTGACTCTAGTTATGAGCCTTCAGAGGGACTTGATCTTTGATCTCTTGGTGATTTTCTTGTCTATGGTGGCTGCCACTTTGTGGGGATAGTGGTCACTTCTGGCCACCAGGGCACAGTATAGGGGCGGTTGGAGGTGCAGTCCTCAATGTTCTGAATGCTGATAGCTTTGTGTCCAGGTAGTGTCCAGCCAGGATGACTATCACTTTCCCAGTTTCATGAACTTACCCATTTCGACACCACCGAGCAGGTGCTACTTTGGAAAAGCTGGGAATCTCTCTTCTATACCACAGCCTTCACTTGGCTGACTTTCCTCTGAGATTTTAATGGCAGTTGTCTATTTATTACTCTTTCTGTACTTAACCATCTATGACTTAACATCTTTTTTTAGTAATTTTATGCTTTTGGGCTTGGTGTGTACTTTCCTCAAGTATATGGTAAAAACTTTAGGTCAAATATGACATTTCTTTCTTTTCTTTTCTTTTTCTTGTTTTAAATTAAAAATTTTTTTTGCAGCTTAACATACTTTAATAGCAAACTTACAGGAACAGCCCAGAAAGACAGACAATATTAAAGACAGGTACTAGCATGTAAGACAACTCGGAAAAGTATAGTGACAGAATGGAATCACTATGTAATAAAAATGCTAAAAATGCTGTTTATTTGCCAAATTTTTTTTTAAAAATCCACAGCTGGCATTGTCCAGAAAAATTTAACAGGTTTTTATTTATAATTGTCATAAAGTTGAAGTCTGAAACTTGTTCACTGAAACGTTTTGACTTGCATTAATGCTTCGCATTCTCTTAAGAATATTAAAAATTCACAGACAAATGAAAATGGGAAAATTGCCAATATCTAATTCCTGTGCCCTATTTTCCATTTGCAGTGATGTACTTAGGTATCTTTTGACTCCATGGGAAACAATATCTAACATTCAGAACCACCAATAACAGGAAGAGGAAAAAAAAAATGTTTGAGCATGAAATGACTCCTTCCTTAGGGACTTTTAAGCGTGTGCTCCATGAATGTGCCATGCTAGTTGGCTGTCTTTTGGCATAATTGTTACATGTTTGGCGTAGATACCACACAGGTTGGTGTCTTCAAACAGGTCAACCATTAAGGCCTCACTTGCCTCTTGAAAAGCACCCACAGCTGCGCTCTGGAAGCGCAGATATCTTTTGAAGTCCTGAACAATTTCTTGAATCAGCAGCTGGAAAGGGAGTTTGCAAATCAGTTCAGGGGACTTCTGATAACGCCTCGTTTCCCAGAGTGCCGCAGTCTCAGGCTTGTACCCATGAGGTTTCTTCATCCCTCCAGCAGAGGGCGCACTCTTATGAGCCGCTTTTGCAGCCTGTTGTATCATGGGCGCTTTCCCACTGCTGGGTTTAGAACAGTCTGCTTGGGATGAGCCATGGTACAGGGAGCTCCTTACTCTCTTCTCCTTTGGCTGGAGCTTGGGAAGTGAGATGTGGTGTTGGAGTTAGTGACAGTGGCGCGGCCACAGCTGCAAGCACCAAGATGACATTTTTTTCATCTCCTACCACATCCACAATCCATGCATCTTATTGTGTAACATATCTCATATCTGTTGAGTGAGTGTAGATCACAGAAAAGACACTTTAATGAGAAGCCTCTACAGAATAACACGTCATATGACCCAACCGATAAAGGAAACTTCATAACAATACGGAAATATCACCAAATAAAGACATTTCTTACTGTGGTAAGCTAGACTACACATGTATCTAACAGTGAGTGAGCCCTCTGTTTATGAGGACCTTAAAATCTAGTGACAAACACTCTCCCAAATGATAGTCATAGGTTCAATATAAAGTTTAGATTGTGATAAGTGCCGTGAAGGCAACCCTAACTAACCCTAACCCAATGTGACATGGGAGCCCAAAAGATGCAGGCGGAGGATCCTCAGCGACTGTTTGCTGAAGATGCTGCCCGCCTCCCTGGAGCCTTGTCCTGGATTGCTGCAGTGGGCAGTAACTTCATCATAATGTCACTGAATTTCCAAAGCGATTTTTGCTAAGTTTGCTTATACTAACTGAAATCTATAAAATAAGTAAAGAGAAGTCATTTAAAAATTTTAAAGAGATCTGGTGAAATCAGTACTTTACAAAAATTTCTCTATTTGCAAAGTGGCAAATATATTGGGGTAAATGGGAGGGAATTAGAAAAAATGGAGAAACTATTGTTGAAGACTGATTGAGAAAAGCTTGAGGTAGTGGGAAAGGAAGAGGATGGATGCAGGAGAAAAGCTGGGAATATAACGAACGTGAAACATGAGGAGAGGAAGCATCTACCAAGATTGCTACTGCTGTGGCTCTGGGGAAACTGGAGGTGGCTCTCTTGGGGAGGGAACAAGGAGGAAGGGCCTGACTCAAGACCCGCGTACATAACAAGTATCTGTGCTGTTTAGAAAGGCTGCTCTTTTATTTCTTCGCAAATAAGAGCTGTGGAGCTGTAAGCACAGAACCCCTGAACGAGCCGCAGTGCTCACGGGCCGGCCACTGGAGCCAGATCTGCCCTTGACCAAACAGCTGCCTCACTCGCTGTGGTTGCTTTGCTTTTCACCCTTTAATTTTGATCTGCAAACTGGGGAAAATAATAGTACCTGTTGCATACACGTGCAATGAAGATGCATGCAGGAGCACATATGAATCATGTAGAAAGCAACTTCTTAGCAAGAACTCATTCACTGTTATTTCCTAGACAACAGAGCTATGTACGCATTACCCAGAACTGCGGTGGTGTTGACCTCTCATGCCATATAAATGGCAAATGTGTCCTGCTAAAGGATTGCTCATCTTAAGACGCATGCTCTCTATACATGATACTGAGGAACCGACTTGGTCACTGAGCCCATGGGCAAAGGTGAACACTGATGTTCCAGGTTTTTGCTCCTCTCGTTTTGGAAAGTTTGCTTTGGGGGATGATTTTTAAATACACAAAAACTCGTGTCCTTTTCTTGTGGGCTCCACATTTAACTCCCATGATACAGATCATGTTCTTCCGCAGCTCCGAGTCAACCTGTCAGTTCTAGACCCTGTACCCTCTCTGAAATATTTGCTGTAATTTCTTCACTTTTTCAACTTGGTTAACTTCATAAATCTTTAATTCTCTCAGCACTTTCCTGTTGAATGAATCTGTACATATTCTAATCTTGTTGCAAGCAGCTGATACTGGGTATCTCATTCTCTGCCATTCATTCCATTATCTTTCTGTCTGGTACAGTATAGAATTAGTGTCATCTCACATTTCTGCCAGAGAGAGAGAGAGAGAGAGAGAGAGAGAGAGAGAGAGAGAGAGAGAGAGAGAGAGAGAGAGGGGTCCCTTAAGATAGGAAAAAGCACAATGTGATAGCAAAGCACAATGTGATAGCAATATATACAATTAGGGAGTCAAACTTTCCATTAAAGTAACATACCTAAATACAAATATTTTGGTGAACTTGGGAAGCTTTGAAATTCACAGTTTTAGGACTATTTATTGGAAACACTTTTACGTTAGCAACTGTGTTTTCCTCAGAGCAATTCTTAAATTTTTCCTCCAAGAAAGAAAACTATTTTTATTCTCCGCAAGTATATTCCTAATAGAGATTTCACCATTTTGATATACGTCACTTTAGAATGTTAGCAAATCTTGTCCCCAAATGTCACTTTTTTTATTCACTGCCTTCTTATCTTATCCTCATAAAAATTTTTAAAGAAAAAATGTCATATAAAAATTATGTCAAAAACTTATGCCTAGATTGTCCAACTATAATAAAATTTTAGGCCTAGAGAGGGCAGACGAGGTAGGCCAGGCTCAGAGAGTTATGGTGATCTGACCACGTATCCTTGCGTTACCATGCCTTCATGCAGAAATATGGACTGATAAATAAGTTTTAAACTCTGCCCTTCAGAAGTCCTGCAAGGGCCGCTCACTTGTGTCTGCAGCAGATAACTTAGCAGGATACAAACACTCACCCTGAGTAGGGAGTCAGGAAGGGAACACTCCTCTGTGCCAGAGTAAAGATTTCTGTAGAAATATTTACCACAGGCTCCTGGTTTCCCAGCCACCTTCCAGAGGAAACATAGCTACTTTGTGGCATGTGTGTTTCTTGCAGAAAAGCAAAGATTAGAATTTTTTCCTGTTCCAATAGAAAAGATAGTAAGTGGCCAAAGTAGTTGACTGGCAGAAATTGGAATGAGTGGGAAAGTTATGCTAAGGATATCATAAGAGGAAGTTAAATTATAGAAGAGTGGTCATGGTGTTTATTTTTTTGAAACTGAAATAGCGTTATTAAGAGAATGAAACATCTCCAGCAATTTAAATGTCTTTGGTGTACAAATGCCTTCACCATAGGGGTTATAGACTCTTGTCTCTTTCAAGTTCAAAGACTTTTGATCTCTTGACTTCACTTTTTATTTACTTGTGTTTTTTTGCAAATAGACTGGAGGGTTTTGAAGTTTCACAGTGATATTTAGGTAATGTTTTCTATCCTGATATTTAGTCATGCAGTGGATAGGTGTCCACTACCTGATATTTGTCTATTGAATAAACAAGTTCATAATGAAATATTTAATGCTAGTCATGTTAAACTGTGAAGCGCATTATAAAAATGTATCCAGAAATATAAAATTTAAAGTTCTGACCTTGGGTTAATAAGTTTCACTACAGGCAAGGACAGCATTTTAAAAATGCACATGGTTTTACAATTCTAAGTAGTCTTTAGCTTGTAAATATTCCAGTGCTGCAGAATATACTTCCTAGGCTTAAAAAGAAGGGCATGACTTTAAATTCCATGTCTCCAAGCCAAATTTTACAAAAGTCCCTCATTAGCTCTCTCCCCTCCTTAATACCCATAATGTCTCCCTGGAGACTTGTTACATTGCAGAAGAACACTAAGGACCACAAAATCTGCCTAATATGCCTGGAAGAAAAGAAAATAACTTTAATAAGATGGATAGCTCACATCTGTAAGATTTTGGACTTTGATTTAATCTTGTAAAGCTTCTCTCCTCCCATTTAAATTCATTATTGTGTCTATTTATCCAACTACTAAGATCCTTTTAACAAAAATATCTTGAAATGAAATTATTAGGTCAAAGCACTCACATTTTGCATCATGAAACATATTGCCCAACCTTCCTGCAGAAAAATGATACAAACTTATACTCTAGCCATTTTAGTAGGAGTATTGTTACTTCTTCACTTCTAGCATGTACTGAAATCACCACCCTCCACTAGGTCATGAATATCTTGCAGAAAAAGACTATCTTGTGTTGCTCAAACTTGGCTACTTAATGTCAAACACATAGAATAGGAAAGGAATATACTTGAACTCCAGTAGGCGATATAAAATTTTTGTCCCACTTATCATGTGCATCAACCATAGTACTCACTTGGCTGTGGGTGTCCATGTAAAACATATTTATCTACATGCATATACAATTTATTTTGTAAATGTTTTATCATTGCATATGAAACTTTTATCAACTGATTGCATCAATTGTGAGCCATACTTTGGTCCTGTCTCCCCTCTAGCAGTCTGTAGAAGGCCAAGAGGTCTAACTCTTTTAGAAACAGCAGTATTTTGTACAAATTTTAAGTTGCAAAATTTTTAAGATACAGAAAATAAGCACTGAGCTATTTTTGTGGGATTTTAGACTGGTTAGCCTTATATAGTTCAGGTTCCTATACCATTTTCATTACTGGATACTAGATATAAGGTGAATTATATAAGAGATAATTATAGTTTAAAATTATAATTTAGTCATTAGAAAATCCTGTCAAGCATTAAATGATCACCACGCTGTGCCTATATATTATCACTTATATGGTAATATTTTAGTCCATATTCTTTGCATTGTTTGTACTGCAAAATGTTAAAAGATTCTCCCCAAATTAAGGGGATTCCATGGCATAATAAGCTTGTAGTACACACTGATACCCTCTGAGAGACTCACAATCTCTCAATCTTAAAGAAGTTTATGAGAAGTTATTAAACTCATAAAATATTGTTTAATTCATTATTTTCCAGGTTCATTTGAAAATTGAAATTTCGTTTCCAGCACACACATAAAAGCCAGATTGGGAAAGGCTGGCAGTGATATGTCCTTTCACCTTTTAGCAATTTTACTAAGAAGTTTTGTACTAACATTCTTTTTAACATATAAGGAAATAGGGCGTTTACCAAATTTCACCTTACATGAGAAAGTAAAGCCCAGCTCTCATGCTAGTCCAAGACTTTTTCTTCCATATCTCATCTGCCTTCTGTGAACAGATAAAGCCAGTTAGAGATTTCCTCATCTAAGAAAACAGAACTTTGCTCTGGAAGTTATCAGAGATATTTTTCCAGGCTTTGATTCA